GGTAAATATGAGTTAAAGATATGGGTGGGATCCAGAAGTCTTTCTAATCCCACCTCCATTGCTGTGTTCTGGAGTCATACCAGTGTTGCCTTTTCACCTCCTTGCTTTACACTCCTTATTCAATTCTCAGGTTCTTCGTTTTGATCTACATATCACGACATAGTCTTCTCTCCATCCGTAGGACCTATTGTCAGTTTTCATGGATTGTGGAACCATTAATCTGTTTCTAGAGAATTGTGGAGCGATTGTGGCATTGACTGTATGTTTTACTCTTAGCAGAAATGGACTCCTGTGGCTGACTTCACTCACCATGCCCACACTGCCTCCTTGTCAGCAGTGGCTGTGAATAGTCGTTTTGTAGTCACTGGAAGCAAAGATGAAACAATTCACATTTACGACATGAAAAAGAAGATAGAGCATGGAGCTCTAGTGCATCACAATGGTAAGAAAATTGTATCCCTTAGGGTAATGATGTGGATGTGTTATTACTTCACAGTTTGCCTTCAGTTGAACAATTCATTAAATGTCTATTATGTAGCAGATTCTGTGCTAGGAGATATAGAAATTTTTTGAAATGTGTTTCTTGCCTTCAGGTTGCTCACAGTCTGTACTGGGAGACAGAAGGGAGGCAGTTAACTCAGGAGGCTGGGGTTGGGGTGAGGTTTCACTGGAAGCTTCCTTAGAATGACACCCAGATTACCTTATAAGAGAATTAACAGTTATTAGCCAGGTGAAGTTTGCAAGAGAGAGAATGGGCATTCCGGGCATTCCAGGTAGTGTGAGGAGCACAGTAGCAGCGTCATAACAATGTCTAACTTTATTGGGGGAGTATGATGTACCCATCAGTGTGCCAAGAAGGTGCAGTTGTCAGCTCATAGACGACAATGCCTAGGTAGAGTCAAAGATATTACGTGACTTGCCCAAGGTCACAAAACAGTGGAACTAGAACTTGAACCCAGGTCTGGAGCCCATGTTTGTAACCACTGGTGTGCACAGGGAACTGTAAGCAGTGTAGTGTTATAAGAAGGTTAAATTGGAGTTGGGGGCGGAGAAGCTGAAGAAGTAGGTGGGGCCAGATCTTGGAGGTCCTTGAGAGAAGGCCAGTAAGGAGGATTGAACGGGAGGGAGAGAGTGAGCGGTGTGGGCTTGAGGCAAGTGCGTGCAGTTTGGATATGAGAGCGGTTCTGACTAAGAACAAGCAAGGGGACGATGAGAGCCAACCCCATTGAAGTTGGAAGCTGTGGATTGAGTAACATTAGTAGGGTTTTCTGAGTTTCTTCAGCAAAAGCTACAGACATTACAGCAGCTCTATGTGGCAACAGTGCCCAGGCTGTCGGTATGGGAAACTAAAATACTGAGGAGGCGAAGGTCACTGGAGTCGAGGAGGTCGAAGAGTAGTAATTTTCAGCTCATGGTTGGATTTGTCCACACTGAGAGTGAAGTTGCCCAGGATAGTGGCAGGATCAAGGAATAGAAAGACTGAACAAGTAATGGTTTTTATTTTCAGTAGTCAACATTATATGCTGTTTGCACTGCATTTTCCCAGGGAACAGAGGACGGGGGGATTAATATGTGTTTGAGAAGAAGGAAAAGGAAAGGAAGAACTCAATATAGTAAAATCAGATAGATAGGGATGTAGTTTGGGGAAATTCAACTAAGAAGATGTATTAGTCCATTTTGTGTACTTATAACAAAATACCTGGAACTGGGTATTTATAAAGCAAAACAATGTTTATTGCTTACAGTTTCTGAGGCTGGGAAGTCCAAAGTCCATCTGGTGGTGGTGACAGTGACCCAGGGATCTCACATTGCAAGATGGTGGAAGCAGAGAGAGCAAGACAGAGAGACAGACTGTCCTCTTCTTTTAAAGCCCTTAGAACCACACCCCTGACCACCATATTTAATCCATTCACTACTGCATGGTCCTACAATCCAGTCATCCCTTCAAGCCTCCACCCTTCAATTACCGTAATAGGATTTCCCACCCTCTTAACTGTCACAGTGGGGGCTAAGTTTCTAATACATAAAACATGCGGGATACAATTCAAGCTTCAATGAGTTTTGGGGGAACATAATTCAATCCACTACAGAAGGTTGGTTTCCTGCAAAGAAAGGCATTATAGGTGCCTGTTTTTCTACCCAATGTTTCCAGTATTTCGGAGTTTCCACACCAAGCATTGGTTTCTAGCAGTAAATTTGGAGTGATAAATGTTTGCCTTCTACTAGACAGTCCTTAGCTACTTTGATAAGCGTCATGCTCTTCAGCAGAAGTTATGCTTTGAGTCATTTGAGCATACATTCCTTTTCCCCTGTCTCCCAGTCCCAGTTCATACAGAGAAGGCTTCTTTCTTTTAGTCTTGGAAGAAATAAATAAGAAATCTGGTCCGTCTAACCCTATTATTAGTACAAGTTTTTCAGCAGTAAGAAAAGGACATGAGTTTAGACACGAGATGAATGAAGTAGGGTTCCTGGATTCCTCCCTTCTTTGTATAAATTCTGTTTTTCCAACAGTTGGTAATAGATAAGCTCTTTTCTAAGGAGCAGATGTGGGGAAGCAAAATTTCCCAAGTAAGAAATAGAATAATAGGAAAAGAGGAAAACACAGACAAAGATGGCCAGTGTCGCCTACTTTGTAATGAAGGTGGTCCCGTAGACCCATGTTATTAGGGCTTTTGTTGTGTGCCAAATTACTCATCAGAGATCTGTGGCATTTTCAATATAAAGGACAGTGTAAAGATTGGCCAGGAGGTATATAGGTGGAAAATAATGACCCAGCAGTTTATAGTCATATTTTTTAAAGGAGCAAATAGTAAATATTTAGGCGTTGCAGGCCATGCAGTCTCTGTTATAATTACTCTGCTCTGCCTTGTGTGAAAAGAGCCATGGACATTTTGTAGCTGAATGAGCATGGCTGTTTTCCAGTAAAATTGCATTTACGAAAACAGGCCACCAGGAGTTGGCCTGCAGGCAGTAGTTTGCTGACCCTTGAAGTACAGGGTAGTTAAGCTAGGTGACAGAAACTTCAAAGGACTGGAGAGGGTAAAGGTGTAACGCTATGGGCTGCTTTGTGGAGGTAGAAGAGCACTGGGTTCTTCCATTACCCCCACCCCCAGCTTTTAATGTTTGAGCCATAGGGGAAATTTCTGGGAGATCTGTCTTCAGTTTGGACAGAGGGAGATACAGTGTTTTGTGAAGAGGTGAAAAGATGAAGGAAAATTTGTTAACCATGGGAACGAGTTTCCAGAGGGGATAGCTGAAAAGTAGACACTTTAGAAAATTATCCTAATAAGTTCTCATGACAGTGAATGAGAAATGTGTAGAACTTAAATCAAAACAGCTCTGGGTGATGATGATTGGATTGTGGCTTTTTGAGAAGCTAACTCACTGTTTAGAAAGTGGTAGTCATAGGACTGTACATCTCTGTTCCACAGATTAGCTAGTTAGCTGGTTACTTTTGTTAGACTCCTGCTCCAACCATCCTAGCCAGTCATCTCCTAAATTTATGATTATGGAGACAAAGCAAGAAACTGATTAGTTCAAGACTATATCTATAACTGTAGAAAGTCTTCTCTGAAAATATTTGCATAGACTTGAAACAGTATAATCTTACATGAAAAACTTTAATTTTTCACTTAAGACTTTAAGCCGTCAGATTAGAAATGGAGTTTGTGTTCAGAATGAATATAATTTTGCCTATCTTGGTTTTTCCCCAGGTACAATAACTTGTCTGAAATTCTTTGGCAACAGGCACTTAATTAGTGGAGGGGAAGACGGACTCATCTGTGTCTGGGATGCAAAGAAATGGGAATGCCTAAAGTCCATTAAAGCTCATAAGTGAGTCTAGCTCTTTCCCATTGCCATTCTTGATCTGCCAGTCAAATTGGGGGCTAACTCTTGGTTTCATTTTAGAGGACATGTGACCTTCCTTTCTATTCACCCGTCTGGCAAGCTGGCCCTGTCTGTAGGTACAGATAAGACATTAAGGTAAGTCATTAATGCCCAAGGACATCTTTACTGAGTTGTATCTTCTACTACGATGATGATATAATGTTTCTGTACTGTTTCATGGCTCTCAGCCGCTTAAAGATATTGTGATGCAGATTGGCCACTTAGCTCAGCTGGTTACAGCCAGGTGTTATAACACCAAGGTCTGGGCTACAGATCCCCATTCCAGCCAGTCACCCCCCAAAATTTAAATATACTGTGATGCAAGGGAAAGGTAGGAAGCTAGTGAACCATCTCATAATGTAGGATAAAAATGACAAGCTCTGTATTCACACATGCACTTACATTTCAGTCATTGTAAGCTGTCAAGTGAAGAGGAGAGTCGTCCTAAAAAGAAGTGTTTTAGGACGTGAAACCTTTTGAAAATAGTACAGTGGATATAACATATTAAAGGGGTATGGGAACAGAAAGAGCTTTAATCATGCTTGATAATAAATATTTCAGTATGTTGCTATTGGAATAATGACAGAGTCTTTAAATAGTTAATATTTAGTAAAATTGTCATGTGGGTAAGTTTGTTATGCTTACACTTTTACACTTAGTAAAAGTTAATTGACGATTATGCCATAGTGAGCTTCCTGTTTTTCAGAACATGGAATCTTGTGGAAGGAAGATCAGCATTCATAAAAAATATAAAACAAAGTGAGTATCTTTGTTTGAAATATATTTTACAGTAACTTAATGGAATCTATATATATACGTATTCTTATGTAAGTGCATATACGCATTTATTTCTCTGCACGGTGGTGGTTACTGTTGTGAGGTTGTCACCCAGGAAAGGAACCAAACACTTAATTAAGAATTTTAACAGAGTCTTTATTAGCTGGCTGGTGACTGCCTCCCCTAGGTATTTTGGGAGAACAGCAGCTAGCCTTGGTCTGCTGGAGTTTATAAAGGTAAAAACCACACGGGTTTGTCCAGGTGCACGAAGCAAGCTAGGTCACAGAAGCCAAAAGCGAGCAGTTAAAGCAATCAGGCATAAAATTTTCATTGTGTATGGTTTCTGTTTCTATGCAACGGTTTCTGTTTTCAATGGTTTCTCACGCGGGGGGACTTCAGTCTGTTATAGTTCCCGTTTCTATGAGAAGGTAAATGGTTTCTCATGCGGAGGGAGTTCAGCTTGTGTCTACCTTAGTATTGTTCAGGGTCCTCTGTTACAGTTACCTGTAAGAACAAATGTTTTAGGTTACTTTCTTTACTTATTTCAGATCTGGGTTCTTGTTGTGGCTCTGCCACCCATCAGCTCTATGACCTTTGGTGAATCTTTGAACCCAGTTTATTATCTAAAATTTCACTAGCAAAATGTGTATCATAAGTTTATTGTGGAGATCAAATAGGATAATGGATGTGGAAATTCACAGTATAAATATTTGCTATTTTTAACACTGATTTTTTATTAATAAAATAAATAGACTTATTTTTTTAACTTACAGGTGCTCAGATAGTGGAATGGTCCCCAAGGGGAGATAAATACATAGTTGTCATACTGAATAAAATAGACATCTATCAAATTGACACTGCATCGGTTAGTGGCACCATCACAAATGAAAAGAGAATTTCTTCTGTTACATTTCTCTCAGTAAGTAAATAAGAAATCAGTGATGGAAGTTTATGGTGATGGTTGGAATTGCTGATGACATTCTCGATATTCTTTTTCTCTCCTAGGAGTCTGTCCTAGCAGTGGCTGGAGATGAAGAAGTTGTAAGGTTTTTTGATTGTGATTCACTAGTGTGCCTCTGTGAATTTAAAGCTCATGAAAACAGGTATTTTTACCAATCTCTACATGTGTATATGGGTAGAGTCTTCATAAATGTTATATATGCAAGAGTTTTATAAAGGAGGATATATATTTTTTGGAACTACTACAGAGGTAAGACATATCTACATGTATGTGATATCTGGAGTCTAAAACAAAAGATGGTGGAAAAATGTTGCCTTCCCTGACTTAGTAATGCAGAAGTGCTGAAGTTGTGATCAGGACTAGTCATTTGCACAAGATATTTACTTTTCAAATAAATATTTTAGACTTGGGGCCTGAAATGAAGTGAATCTGTACAAATGAAACAACTAAACAATCTTGAGCTTTGTCCCTGACCCCACTTATCCTTTTACTTTATTCCCCTTGCCCACTTACCCTTTCTATACCCTTTTTTACTGTAGGAGAGATGAAATGACATTATTGAGTTCCTGTTTGGGCCAGTCTCTGTTCCCTCCTAATGCTTACTGTATTTCTGGAGGGTAGATACTGGGTCTCAGAGTGAGTAGTTAAGTCACTTGGCCAGGATTACCCACCTCTTAGGTAATGGAGCTGGAATCTAAATCCAGTTCTGATTCTTATGTCCCTGTTTTTTTCACGATAATTTTGAAAAAAGGTGGTAACGTACAGAGTTATACTTTAGTGTGTTTCGTTAGCACGTTCTACATCTCAAATAAGTCTTAGTTTTTCTTTTCTTTTCTTTTTTTTTTCCTTTTTGTCTTTTTTCGTGACCGGTAACGGGATCGCAACCCTCAGTGTCGCGCCTGTACCGCGACTGGCAACAGGATCGCAACCCTCAGTGTCGCAACCGGACCGCGCTCAACCGGTGAGCGGACCGGTCTCTATATGGGATCCGAACCCTCGATGGGAGCGCTGCCGCGCTCCCAAGCGCCGCACTCTACTGAGTGCGCCACCGGGCTGGCCCTTAGTTTTTATTTTCTAAATAATGGTTAAGTTTTAAGAAATCTGGCTTTGTAAGTACTCAGGGTACTGCAGTCAGTATACAGGCCTTACTTTTCCCCTGTATTGGGAAGTAAGCACATTCTTTGAGGAAGGCCGTTTCACATGTACTAGTAACATTTATTGTATTTGGCCATTCATTCATTCATTCACATATTCATTGAGCATTCATTATGAAGAATTTTTACTAAGTATTTAATGATGAACGAAAAAGGTAAGAGCTTGTACATAGTTTTCATATTGTAGTGAGGCACTACACAGATTATCAACAAGTAAGCAGACCATTCTAATAGGAAGGAACTAGGAAGTTATGATGACTAAAGCATAAGAAGGATAATTTATGTAGGCAGGATATTGAGGGAAGGAGTGAGACCTTAAGGATGGAAAAAGTACTAGTTCTAAGAAGAGAAGAGAGACACAGGCACAAAGACCCTAAGGCAGGAAGGAGCATGGTGTGTTTTAGGAACAGATTGAAGACCTGTTACCTAGATGCAGAGGACAGGATGACGGGGGCCAAACCATGTATGGCCCTAGAGGCTGAAGTGAGCAGTTTAGATTTTATGCTCAGTCCCTTTGTAGGTTTTATTTTGTTTTGTTTACTTCTTATTATAGGGAAATTTAAAGGCAGGTAGACATTTTAAGGAGCTAACCCCCATAGACCCACCACCAGCTTCAACGGCTGTCCCTTTATGGCCAGTCTTGCGTCATATATATCCTCCTCCCCCATGTTCTTTTAAAGCAGATCTGAGTATTGTAGGGTTTTAAGCCTGGAAGGAACACAATTTGATGAACATTAGGGTGCAAAAATGGAAGCAGAAAGCCCAGTTAGGCTATTTCCATAATCCAGAAGAAAGATGATAGCCCTCTAGACTGGGTGCGGTGGCACTGGAGAGGAGGGAAATGGACACGTAGGAGGCGGCCTTGATCTGTCATCTCTGTTCTACTTTTCTCTCCTTGCTGAACATGGAGTTGCATGAGGTGAAGGGCTTTGTTTTATGCATCTTTGCTTCCTTTGTGATAATCTGATTGTTTATAGTGATGTCATCTTTTCAATTTTTCTTTAAGATGTGGTTGACAGTCAATTTTATCCTATATTTTAGCCCTGAAAATGTCTCACTGACTAATGGGAATGTGAAACATAGTTGTATGTTAAGTTGCCATTTATTGAGCAAATGCTTTTGGAAAAATATTGGAAAAGCAAGAGACTGCATGTAAAAGTTTTGTAATGGTATTGCACTGTTTGGAAGAAAAGATCTTTTATGGTGTTAATATTTCTATCCTAGGGTAAAAGACGTGTTCAGTTTTGAAATTCCAGAGCATCATGTTATTGTTACAGCATCAAGTGATGGCTTCATCAAAATGTGGAAGCTTAAGCAGGATAAGGTTGGTGTCTTAGCACAATATTAATACACTTCAATGCAAGTCTTGCCATCAGTATTACTTTGACTTAAGTGAGGTGGAATTTTTTAAGGGTCATAAGACATAGGTCTTTTTTTTTTTTTTTTT